TGAATACGATTTAATCAGATTTATCTCAAAACTGGTTGAAACCCTTAAAATTTTTGAGATAATATTGATGAATACAGACAACAATAATTTCTCCAATGTTGAACAATCACAGAAGCTATATTTCAGTTTTCAACAATATTTTGTAACAAAAAAACTCACAGATTGAAAAAAATCAAAGAATAATTTTTCAAGCTAAAATGCTATTTACTTCATCCAAAAGATCTTAACAGACACTACTAACAGTTTTTTCAATATTTTTCATACTTGGTGGATTTGATAATGTCAACCTAAGGTAAGTTTTTCTCAATTTTGTTCTAGAAGAACTTGCCCCAAAAACAAGGACTCAGCTCAACCTTAGATTTTTTGATGTCAGAACCATGAATCTTGGTGATATCTATAAAATGATGATAAAAGCCCTTAATAAGATTTGTAAAAAGTGCAGATACATTGTAAACTTGATGAACAACTCTAGAAAATTAGAAAGATCGTGTTCTTACTCCCTTTCAGGACTAAAAATTAAATGTTCTTCCAAAGATTCTTCATGTCTTTGCAGTCACAAGAAAAAAAAATATTTCAAAAAAATCAGACCTCTTAGAAACCCTCATTTTTTTAAATACAAAAAACTATTCAAAGTCATAGAAAAATCTAAAAGATTTCAAAAACTCAAGTTTGGCAGAAAGAAAGAGACCTAAAATAGAAAGGAAACAAATGTTTTCTTTATAATAAACCAGGACATTTTACAAAAAGCTACCCAGAGTCAGACAAAAAATCAATAAAAATGATACATGATATTCCTAATATCTCTAGTATTAATCTTTCAGATGATGACCTAGAATCAATCTTCTTCCTTAATAATGAACAAACTAAGAGATCATTATTCATGATTAAGTAGTATGATGATGATAGTTCAGACTCAGACACAAATGATTATTCAAAAGATTATTAATGTTTTGAATACAAATCAGTCCAAGAATTTTAGAAAATCTAAACCCTTCAACCTCCAAAAGTACATTTTGTCCTAGTTCAAATTTTTACTTATAAACACTTTTCTCCTATTACAATTGCAGCCTTCTTTAACATAGGTGCTGCCCAAACCATAGCTAATCCCATTGTGTTATCTAAAACCTTTTGAAAAAAATAGAAAACTTTTTTCATAATCGTTGATAAAAATGTATTCTCTATAGATTTTATTAGCAACCTTGTTACCCTTTAAATATTCCTAGGTTATCAAATAACCCAAAAGATTTTAGGATCTTCATTTTCACAGAAAAACTTAGTTATTGGTTTTGAAGTGATTACCAGTATATCAAGTTTACAACTCAGTGAAAAAGGTATCAAGTTTAAAAGTTATTTTTGACATTAGAAAAAGCTTTTAAACCTATTCACAATCTAAACAGATTTGTTCCAGGAATTCAAATAAAAGTTCATTTAGATTTTATGTACAAACAATCATTCAGAGTTCCTTCAAAAATGCAAAAACCCACTTTGGCAAAACCTGAATTTTTCATTTTCCTTCCCTTCAAAATAGATGAAATGTAAACCCTACAAAAACTAGTCACTTAAGAATGAACCCAAATCATTTAAAACTAGCAATTCAAGAATGTTCACAACTCCAAGTTCAAAGATTAATTGAACCAACCTCTTCTTTATAGGCATGTAAAACATTTTATGTCAATAAACGATCAGAACAAGTTCATGAAAAATTAAGATTGATAATTAATTACAAGCCTCTTAATGTTTTTCGTACAGATGATAAGTTTCCTCTCCATAATAGAAAGTCATTATTTACAAACTTGTTATAAGCAAAAGTTTTTTCAAAGTTTGATCTCAAGGCAAGAGTTTAGCAATTAGGTATTCATCCACAGAATAGTTACGAAATGACGTTTTGCATCCCTCAACATCATTTTTAGTGGATAGTAATGCCTTTTGGTTTAAAAGTTACTCTTTCACTGTTTCAGAAAGCAATGACAAAGATTTTTGCTCTAATTCTTGATAATACACTTATTTACATTAATAATCTCTTACTTTTTTCTTCAGATGTCACATCTTATACACAGTTATTGGATAAGTTCCAATTGATTGTTTATCAGTATAGGTTAATGCTTTCAAAGAAAAAAATTATCATTAGTATATTAAAAATTGATTTTCTAGGAATGCATTTAAAGATGGTTAATACATTGCTCAATCACACATTACTAAGACACTTAAAGATTTTTTTTTATGAAAATTTCTCCAAGAAATAAATACAATAATTTTTCAGTGTAGTCAACTACATAACTGAATTTCTCTCAGACCTTGCATAGATAACTTATTCTCTTAGATAGATGCTAAAAAAAGAACCACCCAAGTGGTTTCAAAAGTAGACAAAGTCAATATATATGTTGAAGATAAGATCGCAGTCACTTTCAACTTTAAAGATTCCTTCAGATGACAAAAATATATTGTAGATAGATACAAGCGATAAATTTTGATCGACAATCCTTATAAAAAAAAAGATAAAACCAGACAAACATATAGATACAAAAGTAATAGATTCAAAGATTTAAAAATTCATTATCACTCTACACTAAAAGAAATTTAACAGTGAAATATAGAATCCAAATATTTGAATTTTACCTCATTAGATACCACTTTCTCGTGAAACTAGATATGTTAGCATTTGATCAGATATTCAATTTCAAGAAAAAACAGATGCCAAATGCATAGTTGCTCAAATTATCTCAATGGTTTTCAAAGTACTCATTCACTACAGCACATGTAAAAGAAGGATAATGTTTTCCTAGATATGTTATCCAAACCCCTTTCCTAAACCTCTTTCGAGTTTTTTTTTAAGATTATTTATGTAATATCAATGATGAACCCCTCATCCTTACCTTCTTTCTCCCAAGCCTCATCCTCAAGAAACCCCTTTTGTTCTTCATTTAACAAAACCTCACATTGGTGATGAATTTAACCTTCTTAATGAATTTTTCAACATCCCAGTTGAAAACTCCCTCTAGAATTAGCGAGATTAATTGCAACCAAAACCCTTGACCAAAAAGCTCCACACCTCTTGTTCAAATACCAATCCAAGATACTCCAAAAATTTAGAGACACTTCCATTCAGTCCCTTGGAATACACCCAAACTACCTTTTCATTCACCCTTTCAAATTCCCTACCCACTTTAGTTTCCAAAAGAAATTATTTGTTTCATTTAATACCTTTGTCACCTTTACTACATTGTTGTAGAATTCCCATTCCAAAAGCTCAAAAAATTCCTTCACACTTTTCACCAGTCAACCATCAATCTAAAAAAAAAAAAAAACAGATGGACCTTAGTTATCAACATTTTAAATTTTTCTTTCAATGGTTCAGACCCATTCCTATATGGATCCAATGGTTAAAAACTTATGAAAGATACACTAAAGTTCTCCTTGATCCTCACATCATTTTGATTTTTTATAGATCTTACAATTATTTAACAAATGAACCAAAATACTTCCCTTACACAACAATTTATAGCTCATAAGATTATTCATCGTCAAACTTTCTATTTGACCATTCTATTAAATACACAGAGTTTTAGAGACAGATATGTGAAATGAACCACAAAATTTTTAGTCAAAATTGGCCAAAGCTCCAAGATGATGTTCCATGAGAAAATTACTCTTTGGAATACAATTATTAGCTCAAGATTGATAAAAAGATTTATAAAACAAGATTTAATGGTGCATAGACATAACCCATTCCTGAAATTACAAGATATGAAATTGATCATATTGGACTAGTAGAGTGGAACCCTTATTAGACTCCCCTTGATGTTATCAAAGAGATGGAATAGCAAGATTCACAAGAGCCGTATGAAGATTTTGATCCAGACCAGTGGTTAGAAAATATGAGTTATGATTTCATTCAAAGTGCAGACAATTCACATTTGAACCTCTTTCCAGAACATACCTACTGTTCCCACAAGTAAAGATGTTAATCCAATCAGAAATTCAATCATGGTGATAAAACTAGAAAAAATCCCCAATTCAGTCAAATTATATAGAATTATGTGTGATTCTGTTAAAGATGCTTTGATGCTTTCTAGACTCCTCCAGAGACTCCAAGACAAGATGATGATACATTAAGCTTTGTTTTTTGTTAACATCAACTTTAGTTTCAACTTTATATCTACTTTGTTATTTTGTTAAGACATGCTTTAAATTGTTTTCAAGTCAAAGTCTACTTTACTAAAGCTACTTTGATAAAACAAAAATAATCTTACTTTTATTTTATTAAAACTACTTTATTAAAGTTGCTTTAAGTCTAGTCAATTATTTTTTAGTCGTAAATCCAATGTAAATATTATAGGTCCTATTTGGTTACTATTTGCTTATTTTTCCTTTTGTATAAATTTGTAACTCTTTTTCAAAGAAGACAAATCATCATTCATCTAGAAGTTCCCTATTATATAAATATATTTTTCTAAACCTCTCCATCTCTTTTGGTAATTCTTTCCTCCTTCTTTAGCTGTTAGATTTAGAATTAGAAAAAATATTCTATATCATGATTTACAATAATGCAAGTTAAATATGTTCTGCAATTACCATAGTATTATGACTCCTCAACATTAAAAAGCCTCGTAAAATTGTCAAACTGACCATTTATCCACTCAAGAGAAAAGAAGTTACTATACCAAAAATATTGAAGTAGCTTACTATAATGAAAGACACGTCTCTATAAAAATCAGAGTATCAATTCGATGTTATGCCATGACAGCACCAAATCTCGAACACCGACTAAAATCCTTTGATTATATGTATGAATTATGAACTGTTTATATTTGATATTATCTCGATGCTTATGTTTGATATTATCGGCTAAAATACCTTGGCTTTATAAAGGAGCTCTTAATCTAAAATTATAAAAAAAAAATTTAAATTTTAAATTTTAAAATTACTAAATAATATTTTTTAAAAGTAATTGAATAAATTAACTAATTTAAATTCCAGATTTGTTTCTCCTTATCATTTATTAATGCAATAATAGTGATAAGATTTTGGGAAAAAAAAAGCAATAGTAGTGATAAGATTGTTAATAGTATTAGAGTATTACTAATAACAATCTCATCACGCTAGAGATTGAATATGATGATATAGCAGGTTTGACCTAGGGAAGGTAACCGTTCTAAAATAACATAACCAAACAGTCAATTATCATAATTTCACTCAAGGTTGCAAGCTATCACCAAGCAACGTGCACCAACGTGCTTATCTAGTTTCCTACTTCCAAGGATATAGAAGAGGAAGGAGGGGTAGGCATATTACTTTACTTAGCTTCACTGAAAAGGGAAAGCAATTTTATGCTATATATGCAAAAATAAAATTGCTGGATTGATACTTGTTAATGCAGAACAAGTAAATTAAGCTGTGCCTTCAAGCATATGTAACATCCAACTGATTCCTAGAATGAAAAAATTGGAATTCAGATGGATACAATTGGAAGACGGTCCAAAGTGTTTAGTTTTCTTTTTCTTTTTTTTTTTCCTTTGGTATAATACTTACTAATATATAAACTTGCTTGTGACATGTTCCCACTGCCCAGCTTCGTGGGTTAAACAACATCAGCTGTACTCAAAATACACCACTCAGAAAGCCCCTGCAACAGAAATATTTAGATTGCTCAACATCAAGAGACAGTAATCACAGTTAACATAAAGAAAATGGATGCTGATCTTACCAAATTCCAGAGACTTTCTTATCTTTCTTTCTGCAAAGAGAAATCCAAATGAAATTCACATGAGGTATAGTAAAAAAAACAAAGACACAAATGGGGCTCTTTCTAAAATAACAGATGACGAATGAATGCAACTTACCTTGGTTTTCCAAGGAAGGCATCATTAATTTCATCAATGGTAGGCCTTTCTGTAAATGTTGATAAAGAAACATACTTTTCCTTCCCAGGTTGTTCATCCACCCTCTTGTACAGCTCATAATCATATGGATAAGTCATTCTGAAATCATGAGATGATAATAGTTAACAAAGATTATTCAACTGAATATTTCTAGATGAAATGTTGAAGATAAGTCCAGTGTTTCCTTAGCGCACAAGAATGACATCAAATGTGTAATAACAAAGAGAATAAATTAACTTGGAGACCAGAAAATAGAATTTCTATAATCAGTTGCCTTGGCAAACTCTCTAGCTTAGCCAATATGCTCTTGTCCTTTGTCATGCAATTAGAATATGTCATATTAGGAAGAGGAGAATCACCCTCCAGTAGGAATGGATAAGTGATAAGAGTGTATATAGAATGCCATGAGATCATTTGCAAAGATTTCCTTACATCCTAAATTTTATAGTTTTTCTACCAACTTGGAACACTGATAAAGAAAAAACAGTTTGAAGACTCAAATCTCTATTGGAAAAAATTGTTCAAATCCTTTCCTTAATTACATTCCATAAATTTCAATGTATACAAATGCTGATTTTATGCTTATGCAGTATGCTTATTTCATAATCTTCTTTCTTCATGTCTACTTCCTATTTGAGCAGGGAGTAATGAAGTCACTATAAGGGGTTTTATTCAGGGATGAGGATCAAGTAGAATCCAAGCTTATTAACAGTTCCAATATAAGCTGCACTGTGCTTGGACTTTACTAGATTTCATGTATTATGCACTTTCATTCCAATAACTTGAACAAGAAATCAAGTCCATACCCACATTCTCAAATCCAGTTAGCCATTTAAACCATTATCGTAATTAAAGTGCATCCAGATGATTATTGATTTAAAATGAGAAAAAAAATCCAAACTAGGATATCCTAAGCACCAGATATTTATAGGTATATCCTGAATGACCGTGCATGAAAATGTATGTACGCACACCATTCCGAATGGCCAAAAAACCATCAATGACCAGTCAAACATAGCATAGACTAAAACAAGTAAGAATTTGGCTTATAATAGCCCTACCTTATTGCACCCATGATTGGATATTGGGTTCCAGCATAATAAAGAAGCCTGAAAAAGTAGCAACTTTCGAAGGAAGCTGCATACTCCAGTCTCTTATCCCGACCCATTGTCTGTAAAGAAAAAATATAGGAATTCAAAAGGTGCCAGTTAACATAAGTCAGTACAAACATGTCTGATTTAATGTTTTATACTACAATATTTAAAGAAATAGTTATTGAAAATATTTCATGTTTTCCATAATAGAATTTTTAATAATTTCCTCTTAGATCCAAAAGCATACTCATAAAAACAAAATTTAAACATAATGTCCTTGTGGGAATATCAATTTGAAAAAATACATGAAGAAAGGTTGAACTTACTTGCATAATGCCACTTGAACCAGGAAGATCCTATATCCAGAGAAATCAAAACTCCAAAGGTCAGAAATAGAAATGAATACCAAATATACCATGCATCCTATACTTTAGCCACTTATGGAGTGAGTTGGCCAAGATGGATTTTTGCTCTGATATGGCCAAAATGCGACAATGTGTTTTCCAATGAAATAGGAGATTTCGATTTTGGTTACATTGTGCATCCATCATTAATTTTACCTAGGAAAGAAGTTTGGGTATTGTTAAGTTGCAGGCTAATATGCAAAAATCATTTAAAAGATTTTTTCCCTCAAATCTGTAACTCCTAGAGGTAAGCCCTACATGGATGCAAATGGTTTGAGACTCTGCACAAAGATCTACCTTGTATTTTTAGATGGCAAAATCATTCAGTAAGAAAATTCATCCAAGATCATATAAACATCCAACCTTGAGTCTAGGATTGATAAGTATAACTGGCCGTTTCCCGGCAGCATCAGTCATCGCTTTCAAATCCTGCATATTTAGGGTCAAGATAAGACACTAGAGTGTCAAGTATAAGGCTCTCAGAACAGCATAGTAAAAGAATTACTCTCCAGATTCTTACATCTATAATGCAATTGCCAACAGCATTTTGAGGAGCCACTAAAATGAACATATCATCTTGTTCCTCAACCTCTTTGGCACCTGTCAGTGCAAATAAAAAAACATTAAAAAAGAGAATCATTTAATCAAGCATGTAGAAGGATACTCCAACTGGTCTGTAATCCATCTTATATAACTATAATTAATATTTCACAATGCCACTGCAGTAGTGCTGACATAAGTTTTACAAATTATAGCAGATCTTATCCAGAGATGCTCATCTTTGTAATAGTCATGGCATTTTTCTGTTAAGCTGTTGCATTGCATGAGTAGATTGCTAGCTATCAAAATTTGAACAGAAATGCTGTTCAAACAAGTTGAAAATGTGATCTAAGGACGACCAGTCACTTCTGTTGGAACATAAAAGTCTATGTGCATCACTTGAAAAACAAGGCAATGTAACCAAAGAATTACACTTGGTAAACATAAGGCAGACGGCTGGAAAGGTCTTCCCAAAGTTAAATATGATTGTTGTTTACAATAAGTTTTTGTAACATGATCCAAGGAAAAATGTTAATGCCTTAATCAACCAAAGTAGCTACAAATATCAATGCTCTTAAATATCTCAATATGGTTCACAACATTTTATGGAGTTGAATATGTGCTACAAACTGATATATAGAGGCATATATAGATGGCAAGTTACAGGATAGAGACTCAGCTAATTTCTGAGTTTCAACAATAGCCACTATCCATCCTTCCAGAGTTAATTAGTGCACCCATAAGGGTGCAGAGGTAAGTAGTGGATAGACATATGCACATACTCACTAAATCTCCTATTGCCAGCAAGATATGTTCTCTGGTAGCAACAGCCATATTTGCAAAGTAACATAAACTTTAGTATTAGCAAGCAGTATCATAAATATACAAATAAATATTTTTTCCCAAAATTGTGTCATACCTATTGAACCAATCTTGATAAATGTTCCCATAGCACCATAATCACCCCAATCCATGAATTCCAAGATCTTTCGGCTACCAGCAAGTTGTAAGGGCATTCCTGCAAGTGCACCCTCTCCCATAGAACCTTGAACACAAACCTGAAAGACGAGTAGTTGAAATGTCTGTATGAATGCAAGAAACACTTTCAGATTTATATCATTAACTGCTAAAAGTACCTTGACACGTTTTCCATCATCAGCAAACGAAAGTGCAATAACTCGTACTAGCTCCATTAAGGTACCTATTCGGTAAACATCCTGCACATCATAAGATTGGTTAGCCCTAAAGCAATTGACTAGGAAATCTGAAAATAAAATATATACGGATAATCTCTCACCATTTCTGGATTCAGCTCAGGGATATTAATCTCCACCTGTTGATATAAAAAGAAATGTCAACAAAATCAATCGGCCTTGCTGGGAATAGCTTTGTAAATTCTATATATACCAACGAAATATCTCAATTGAATCTCTCTCCCATTACAAACTCCATCTCTTAGTTAATATTATCATAGATTGCTAGTCCTATGACCAGTTGCTCCTATATCAAAGAGGAGGTATTGCAGTTGAGTTTTGGTGAGTTTGAGATAACCACAGTAACAACCTAAATGTTTTTCCATTCCGTGGGGTCAGGTAAATGGATCCTATTATGCTATTATTCTCTATTTAGACCCATATCCTAAGAAGCAAAAGCAAGGTCCTTCTTGATTACTCCTAACGGTGCTTCTTTCCTCTCCCCTTTTTGACATGGGTATCCTCCATTAAGTAACATGTTCTAACAGAAGCACTTATAACCCTTCATCTAACAAGCCCAAACCATCTTAAACATAAGCCCCTGATCTGCGGCCAGTTTGAAGAATTCCTGCCTATGGTGAATGCTTTGTTATTGGACAAGTGGATCCATAATAGATGAGATTTTCGTTAACCGGCCCAGAAGTGAGACATGGAGATGAGGTGAAAATATTTTTTTATATATATGAAAGTAAAACAAATCTAAGACAATTCTCTATTAATATCAATTCAACAAACTTAAGCAATCACTAAAAGACTGAAGTTGCTAAGCCTCATGGCAAGAACCAGGACCGTGTCGCCATCTATAATGATAATTATTTTTGCTACACCTTCACTAATTAGGGAATCTCTATATAGACTGTTTAACAAGGTAAAAAAAAAAAAAAAGAAAACAAGGTTTTAATCTTGATTGAATAAGACATAATTGATAGAACCATACTATTTATGTGCTAGTAGTAAATTTTATTTTGATTTCTATAGCAAGGTAATTCAGTTCAACTGAATCAAGTACTAATATCTGACCTTTAATCGAGTTCTTCCATCATTTACAGCTCTCTGTGTGGCTTGTAGCACATCATCATAGAAATAATTTCTGATTTCTCTAGAGTGAGGAATATTATTCAATCTAGTAGGAATTCCTCTCCATTTGTCATCCTGTCAAAAGCTAAAGAAAGTAAGAATGGAATTGCAACTTTGAGCGAAAATGATCCTTTTTATTTCCTTGCCCATGACTAAGATATAGAAGGGATAGCCCTTCATTTCCTTTAACCTTCCCCTACAAAGAATCATTACACCATGCTAATTGGCACCTTTATATTAAAAATTTCGTAACCAGAAGTATTGACAACCACTATATCAATTGAAAATCCATTTACCTGGTCTGAAGATGCCTGATCTAAATGGCTCTCAGTTTGAAGGGGTTTCACTGGAACCAAGAAGGAGGTGGAAAAAGCCAAGACAGATAACAGAGGCTATAGTTAGTTAAGGGCTCATGGTATAAGTTTTCTATGTTCAGGCTCAAAATAAAGTTACTCATACACATGATAACCATTAAGTGATCTATTAAACAGCATTTTTAAGCAAACAACTACACTAAATTTGAAATTATATGAGAGGAAATGTGGGTAACATTATGGTAATAGGGAAATAACACAAAATCATCCAATGAAGTTGAAAAGTGTTGACAGAAGGTGAAAGTTGGAGTACAGAAACTGATATTTAGGGATTAGAAGTAAACAAACAAATAATAAAAACAGCTATTGTCAGCATTTATCTAGACTGACAGACGATATCTGGTTTCAGCTTAGATAGCAGGCCCAAAATCAAGGATAGAAAGTGATCCCATGGACAATAAACTCAATTTTAAACACCAAGACACTGACTTATCTTGAACCATGAAAAACTCAGTATAAGCATTCTCAAAGAAATACAACAACATATAACAATTAAAATCCTTATTTGTTCTAAATTCAAGTGCATGAGCTGATCTTTCATATACAAGAACATGCGAATCTAACTTCTGATATGATCACGGTTAAACCACCATCAAGTGCTAGGATTTATGCTTTATAGAATCATATACATCCATAAGAAAGAAACAGAAAGATTAACTGGAAACAGGTCTATGTAGACACATATGGAAAACAACATCATCCATCTTTTAGAAGTTCATGAAAAGGCCTCTCATAGGTGGTCCCTTCTAAAAATAACAAGTGCATCCTTCACTAAGAATGACGATGGCAGATAGGATGAAAATATTTGTATGATCTAAAGGTTTAATCTAGAGGAGTTAATAACCAGTGTGGTCCTATGCTTATGTCAACCAAATAATGCCCCTCAAATGAGAAATTCAAGAATCTATAGACTAAAAGCCTTTAAATTTGGCAAAAATTTTCAGTTCCAGAACAGCCTTCGATAAAGCTTAAGAAGAATAGGAAAAGTTTCTATCAAGTTCCAACAGTGCAAAGTAAGATCATGTCCTCCAAAACTTGAAAAAAAATTTTCACTTACCTGATTTTGCTGTTTTATCCTTCTGCAGTTGAGTTAACAAGGAGTCTATATCTTTGAAAACTATCTCTTTTGGACGGTTTCCATCAATCTGTGAGGGGAAAAATTCATACGCACAACCATAGCAAAAGTAAGAGGAAAATAGGAGTAGAGAAAGTATTTAAATGTGCTAAACCTTGTTTGTTATGCTTGTATAAGTGGATGAGATTGCTGCAGCATTTTGCTTGTATATTTCTAGTCGTGCCTTCACCTAGACAAAAACAAACAAACAAAAAATGGAAAAAAGAAGGGGGGAGAAGTTAGGTGACTAACTCAGAGCACAAGGTAAACTACATTACATGAAATGAAGCAAACATCCATTATACAAATATGGTACATGCGGCTTTCCCTCACTAGTTCACCCTATCACTTTTCGGTCAGAGAGAGAGAGAGAGAGAGAGAGAGAGAGAGAGAGAGAGAGAGGGAGAGTAAGCAACATCCTTGCTGAGCCTACAATCAATAATAGGTCTAAGAGAAACATTTGCATTAGCTTCAAGTAACTCAGTGGCATAAAGGACTTAGAAGCACTGCAACAGCATGTGCAACTCTGAAAAGTGAACGGTAAGTACTTTGCCAGACTCAATTCCCTGGAAAATTCTACGGTGCATCCTATGTTGTGCTAAAGGCTGAACTGCTGACATGCAGGCATTAATTCCAGAAAGGTTTATTTAAGATATGTTTCAAGGTCAAGTTATGCTCCATGTAGGGTTCTTCGGGTTTGTCTGGTTTAAAATGAGGCCACAAGATTTGAACTTTCTCCCTGTCCACACATCGTGTGAAAATAATGCATATGTAAATAACCATCAGTAAAGCCTGTTACTAGTTCTTAATGAGTTCAATACAGAATATTAAGAGATGAGTTCAGATTGGTACTGCAAGTTCCCTTGCAAGTCATATAACAGACTTTATGGATGTACAGTGGAGATTATTTGAACTGAATATGTTTTATCTACATTTGCAGTGATGAAGTCTCTGCTCCAAGAATTTAGCCAAAACTCTCGAGATAATTAGTGCTATGCATGACAATGAATATAAGCCAGATGTATGTTGACCATGCAGTTGTATCAGCCATGTTATATTCATATACCATCTTGATACTCAGTATCTAAGCCAATGAAAAGCAACATAATAAAAGAATATAAATAATAAAAGTAGAAAAGAATCATACTTTCTCCTCTGTGTCATCAGCACGGGTAACCAGTCTAGCTTTAATTTCATCAGAGTCAGGAGGGAAATTTTTCAGATGGTAAATTTTCCCTCTGACTGGGTCTAGCCTTCTACCAACGCATCTGTCGATTAGAATTTCATCAGGAACCTGAATGTTACGAAATAAAATAAATGTAAAAGGCATGTTTTTCAGCAATGATTGTCTACTTAAAACGAAAGGCAATGAACTTGTCAGAGATTGAAAAAGATGATCACTATTTACTCTTTGAATTAAAATTTTTAGAGGTAATATAAATTAAAGATATAGATGCAAAAGAAAAGAAGTTCTTTCTAAGTGTTTGTGGAAAAATACCTCATAGCATTGAATTGAGATCTTATGCACAGAAATAGCCACTTTAGAAATGATATCATTATTACCAGAAAGTCATTTGATGGCAAAGCAACAATATATGTGAGTGTTTGTGTCAAAGGAGACTGTAAAATATCACTTTATGTGGAACCAAAGTTATTAAAGCACTATTGTGGAAGCCTATGTTGCTTGGACACAGGTGTAAATGTTGGACTCAGGTATGTCTCCAGCATGGGACCGTTCAGTTTTTTCTTTCCATTTTTTCCCCAAAATTCTCTTTTCCTAAGCTGTTGACCAAAGTCCTACAGGGGTCAGTATCTCATGATACTTTCCATTGGTAGGATTCAATAAATTTCAAACAACTGTTGTGCAGTAAAGCAGAACCAACATGAGTATATAAGATACATACATCTAATACAATGTAGATATCAGGGCTAATATTCAATTCTTCCAAACTTTGTGCCTGGGCAAAACTCCTTGGGTATCCATCAAGAAGCCACCCTTTCTCCTTAGCATCTTGACGTGATAATCTGGCTGTCACCATCTATAAAATGAAAAAAGAAATATTTAAATACATAAGCATTTAAGAAAGGAAAGGATAAAGAAGTGGGTAGGTTAATGTAGTACAGCAGTCACGATCGCATCAGGAACCAGACGCCCAGAATTCATGAATTCTTTTGCTTTATTTCCAATATCTGTCCCTGATGATACTTCGGCTCTTAAGATATCCCCTGTTGATATATGCACCAATCCAAACTGCAAAAAATGAAGTACATAGAATAACCATTTACAAGCAGAGACTGAGGCAAACTTCTATAACAAGAAGACTCAAGTAATTGAGGTAATAAGAGTGAATCCTGTTTTAGAAGCATAAAATAAAAAGGCATAAAATCGTGTATCCACAGTTGCAATTTGAAGAAAACACTAGGCTGTCTTTTTTACAGAATCAAAAGGGGAAAACAGCAGTATTTCCCTTTAATTTCCCTTATGAAATTATGATGCCCCTTTGATCCATTGCTCTTCTATAATTGCTTATGTACATCAATTAATATTGCACAAGATAATTAAGATGTTGCATACATTATAATAACTCAGTAAAATGTTTCACATGGTTTTCTTTAAAAATACCCTTTTCAAAAATCCCACACCGTGCAGCTTTCTTCTCATCAAAAAGTGCAAAGATAGCAATCTATATATCCTACCCAAAAAGATGAACCATCAATATGCAAACAATATTTTATCTTCAGTAGAAGTCAAGAAAAAGGAAAGACATCACCAAATTTTATTGCATGAGGCTGGCTATGGAAAGAGTCTTGAGCTTATCACCTCTAGAGGAAAGACTGAAGGATATTTTTGAATATGGGAAAGCAACTCATGTTAAAATATTTATTCTTCATGTTAATCCATCCAAGCATAATAAATTCTATAGGAGAAAATTTTACCATTGAGGATCCAAATCATGAAAGAAAAACAAAGCATTTTCTGGCAATTAATCCTAATCAAGCCTTCATAAAAACTAAAACCCATAACCATTACAATAGACAAGGAGTGCAAAGCAATGAAAATGGTGTAATAACATCTGCATACTGCTTAATACTTAAGAATATTATAATATATAATCTACAATCAATTAGAATTAGACATATATTTTCATTGAAACCACAACTGATATATGGAACTGAAGTAAACTACGCATAAGATTAATTACCTTTTGTACAATCAACTCACACTGGGTGCCCTTACCTGATGCCGGGGCACCTGATATCATCACCTTCAAAGGTTCCTTTTTTAAACAACTTATCCTCAATCCCTGCCAAAAAAACAAAAAGAGGAAAGAAAATGAACAAGAATATCATTAAAAAAAAAAAAAAACAAAAAGAAAAGCAATCATTGTTTTTTTGGTAAAGGGAATTAAAAACCTTGAGTTTTGGGCTAATCCTGACATGGGTTTTGCTATGGAGACCAAAAGTGAGAGGCGAAACAAATGAAGAAGAAGAAGAGAAAGAAAGAAAAGATGGGTTGATAGAGGGAGTTTGAGAGGTATTATAATTGGTAAGTGGATGAAGAAAAGTGAGCGAAGAAGTAGTAGTAGAAGAAGATGTAGCCAACATTTTTTGCTGCTCTCTTTCAGAAGGGACAGACTGAAAGAGAGGAAACTAGAGGCTTTTAAAATGAAAGTTGAAAGCAGTTTATTGCTAAGGGATTAACGGACACCATAGGTTTTTCCTTTTTATTTATTTATTTATTTTCTCAGGCATATATGATTATCAAGATCTCTTATGAGAAATAGGATTTTTGGTCTTTCACTGGAATCAGTTCCCGTTACGAGTAGGGTTTTGTTTCTTTAAAAAAATCATTATACGTAAAAAATAATTTAAATCGTATGATGTTAGTATAAAATTAATTCGGATTAGATTTGATTCTCCATCACCACTTTTCATTCTCTTATATCATCTTATAGTTTAATGTTGAAATCATACATTTCTAACTTGATATCCTTTTTGTGATTGTTGATCTTCAAATTTAAAGAAATCTTTTTTTGAATGTTTTTAATTGTAAATTTATTTTTTTATTTTTTTATTTTTTATGTGTGTGATTGTATTATAATTTTTGAAAATTTTATGATTTTTAAAATTTTCTTGCTTTATTATGTAATTTTATTTTTTTTAACATTTTAGATTATTTTTAGCTATTGGATTCTTTTTTAATTTTTTAATTTTGAAGGATTATAGATTAATAAGAAAAAAAAGAATCAAAATTTAGTTCGATTTTTTTTTTTTGGGTTATTTGGCATTTGAACTTTGGTTTCTTAAATGGATTTTTACAAACCAAATATTTAGTTGAACTTTTTGTAAAAAAAGAAAATTGTTTAAATATTTCTTTTTTTTCTCTCTCTGCACTTTTCATATCTTTCTTTCTTTTTTTAATTTAAATTTAAGAAAAAATAAAATAAAATTTTTAAGAAAATAAAATTTTTATGCATATTTGATTTAATTCTTTACAAATTTTCTCATTTGAATTTTACATTTCTCTCCATTATTTATAATTTTTTCGTATATGAAATCAAAAGGAAAAAAAAAATCAAACTCCACCATTTAAAGATCCGGCTTGACTTCTTTGTGTTCCAACAAATGAAACAGTTGCATTTTTCTTTCTTTTTTAGATGCCATTGGCTATTGCCTCTTTTTGTTCATGTTGTTTCCTTGACGTGATTGATGGTTACTCTTTTCACCTCAAGCCAGGACTTTTTCATACATGATTACATGCAGGTATATGATTACATGCAGATGTAATCTGACTTGATCTACCAGACTGAATCCAAAAGAAACACATCATATTAAAAGATGAGAAGTTGCAATTTGTTCATTTAATATATAAAATTAAACTATCAGATAAATTACTTACATCCCTTACTTATTCACCATTTTGAAGATTTTCGCAGAGACCAATCCCTTCAAATCCTTTTATCTTTTCTCTAGTTTTGCATTCTTTTTTACCTTTCATAGATTGTGCTTGATTACCATTGTTTGAAGAGCCATTATTCTTGGATGGTTTGATAGATGACTCCATATCTTGCCTGCTGAGATTTCCATCCTTTTGATTATTCATACAACAACACCCAGCAACTAGAGCGCCGATCTGACTCTCCAAGAGGTCAGATCCGATGGGGGCTGTCGATTTGGCTCTAGACGGCCAAGGGAACGGGGGTGCCGTCCTTTCTCGTCTCCGACAAAATTTTCACCATCAACAATGGTACTGGCAATTGTTGCGGTAAGCTTTCTCTCTCTTTAGATTGGGATAAGATTAGAATTGAGCAAAATAAATGAGGGTAAAATGGTTCAGTAGAATTGAGCAAACTAAATGAGGGTAAAATGGTCCCTTAATTACTTACTCGATTTCTGGAATTTCGGAATAGCCATTAGAGTGAAGCTCGGAATGGTTATTTCTTGTTTTTAAGGAATAGTTGATTCCGTAAAATAAATTTTCTAAGCTAGAAAAAAAATATATTGTTAAATACCCATTTCACTCAGAAAGAGGCTTAAATTAAATGGTTATTACAGTCAACCAAATATGTGGTATAAAAAAGTTTAAAATAATAATGTTTAAAAAAAAAAAAATGCTATCACTTATCTACGAAAGAGCAACTACATGACAAGATTTTTTTTTTTGATATTTTAACCATGGCAGCCAAGCCAATTATCGGATAGTTTTTATATAACTAGAAAAATTATCCGATTACGCTAAGGTTATAAGATTTTTTATTTTGGTAAAATATAAATTATATTTTTAATTTAATAATAAAAATAAATATTTTTTAGTATTTTGTTGTTATTTTTAATTTTTTTTCAAAAATATAATCTTTTGAAAAAAATAAAAATACTTATGCTGTGTTACTCAATGTAATAAGTGATTATTTTAAAAAAAGTATATAAATTAAATTGAAACTCAATAATACATACATTACAATCCAATTTACCGATATAATATTTAACTATTACCAATATTAATCAATTATCAATTTCAAACTTATTTACTTATTAAATCAAAGCCTATTAATATCATCACCTATTTAATTTAATTTTTGAAAGAAAAAAAATCAATAATTCTAACATGATAAGAGATGTATTGTAATAATTTTGATAAATTATGGTAGAAAAGTATTTCTATAATTATGGTTGTATAAGTACTATAATTACTTCGGCCAATTATGATAAAAGATGTATTTTAATAATTATATTAAGAGAGTCATTGTAATAATTTTAGTTAATTATAAAATGAATGGCATTACAATCGATTTGAATATATATCATTTAGAATAGTATTATGATAATCTCAAAAAGATCACTTTCATATAATTGTATGAATGTTAAAATTTAATACATAATTATGAAGTAATAAAAAGTAAGATGGTATTATCATAATTTTGGCAAATTATAATATGATGAATATTTTTATAATTATGATATGAGATATATTACAATAATTTTAGCAAATGAAGGTAGGAGAGCATTTCTGTAATTATGATTGTAAAGGTATCATATTAATTTTGGTCAATTATGGTAAGAGGAGAATTTTAGTAAATATATAAAATTGCATTATAGTAATTTTAGTTAATAATAGAAAGAAGGGCATTACAATAAATTTGAATATATGTAATTCAATTGTTAAGTAATTAAAAAGGCATTATGATTATTTCTAAAGGGATTAATTTCATATTATTATATGGATGTTAAAATTTAATGGTAATTATGAAACAATCAAAAGGACATTTTTGCAATTATGCTAAGAGGGTATTATAATAATTTTGATCAATTACAATATAATGGATATTTTTGTAATTATGGTAAGAGAAGCATTATATGAAGTAATCAAAAGGGTATTTTTTGTAATTATAGTTAGAAGGTATTATTGTAATTTAAGTTAACTATAATATGAATATTTTCGTAATTATAGTAAGAGATCATTTTCGTAATTATGGTTAGAGGGTATTATAGTAATTTTGATAAATTATAATATGAGGAGTATTTTCATAATTATGGTAAGAGAACATTTTCATAAGTTGTAAAGGCATTAGATTAACATTGGCCAATTAAGAGAGGTATTTCAATAATTATGTTAAGAGGGGTAGTATAGTAGTTTTAGTTAATCACAGAAAGAGAGGCATTACAATCAATTTGAATGCTTGTAATTCAATTATTAAGTAATTAAAAGGATATTACAATCATTTCTATAGGGATTAATTTTATATTATTATATAGATGTTGAAATTTAATAAGTAATTATGAAGCAATAAAAAAGTATTTTATTAATTATGCTTAAAGAGTATTATAATAATTTTGATCAATTATAATATAAGAATATTTTCATAATTATTATTGGAGAGGCATTATATGAAGCAATCAAAATGAGTTTTTTTGTAACTATGGTTAGAAAGTATTATAGTAATTTCAACTAATTAAAATATAATGGTAATTTTATAATTATGGTGAGAGAAAATTTTCATAATTATGGTTAGAGGATATTATAATATTTTTGGCAAGTTATAATAAGAGGGCATTATAGTTATTCTAGCAAATGATAGTAGGAGAGCATTTTCGTAATTATGGGTATAGGGACATTATAATAATTTTGGTTAATTATGGTAAGAAAGATATTTTAGTAATTATTCAAAAAAGGCGTTATAGTAATTATAATTAATTATAGAAAGAGAGGTATCATAATCAATTTGAATGCATGTAATTTAAGAAGGGTGCTATTTATACCTAAAAAATTCTCAATACACCCCAAAAAATTAACATTTAATGAAATTACTTAAATACCTATTAGTCAATTACCTTTTTGTCCTTCATAACCTTTTCTTCTTTTTAAAATGTATCAAAAATTCATTTAAAAAAAAGCAATTATCATTTAAAATTGATTTTCAAAATTAATTAAAAGTTACCAAAAATTTATTTTTGAACGCTTCTTCAATGTATCAAAAATTCATTTTTGAAAACTTTTTTACTATACCAAAAAAACATATTTTTAGAAAGTATGACAATTATCCGAAAATGCATTTTTGAAAATAATTTTTTACTTTAGTTTTTTTGTTGTATTAAGTATGAGAAGGTAGATTTCAATCTTTTCATTAGTTTCTGGTACCAGAATATTGGATGTTCCTAGTTGTGATATTCAAACCAATATCTAATGATTTCTTTGAGGTATGAGTTGTTTAAATTCAACAGTAGAGACTTTTAATCTTTTAGCCACATTGTCCATTAAATAATGTTTATAACAATTTTTTAATTCTAACAAATGTGCATTTGAGAGGAATTGGTAATTATGAAAATGCGCTTGTACAAGTTGGCTATTACATTATGTGCGATGTGATAGTCACGCTTCATTACACATGGGGCAATAGCCAACTTGCACTAGTGCTTTTTCACCCTTAACGATTTCTTTCATATGTACATTTGTCATAATTAGAGAAATGTTACAAATGTTATTAAATGGACACTGCTTGGTGGCCGAAAGATTATTGGTCTTACTACCAAATTTATCATTCTCCAGATGACATTGTTAGGGTCAATATTCCTTACGTTGCCAAGTTATTATAAACCAATATCTGTTTTCGAAAGTGGATAAAGGCTTCTAGAAATGAATGTCGAAAACTATTGAAAAATTTCATATGTCTGAAAACTATTGAAAATTTTTAGAAATCCACATTTGAGAATTTTTAGAGATTTATGAAAACTAATTTTCAAAAGTTCTTGAATGATTTCAGACATCCATTTTCGAAAACGTTCAATAATTTTTGAAATCTTATTTTAGGAATATTTGAATCGCACTTCAAAACTTAAAACACTAAATCTTACTAAACTAAACACAAAATCAAATGAAA